CTGTTTTCCAAAGAGATGTTCGTAAATAACTGACAGGAGATGGGCTGCTTCATTCAAGTATTAACCCAAGTGATGGGGTTAATCATTAAACCTTCTCGCTGGTGGTTAGCCTGTTTCTCTGATATTCTAATCCGGTTACAGAATGGCTAAAGCAGCTTTAGGTGGAGGGCGGATTATTTTTCCCTTCGTTCGCCTTGTGTTTTCGACTCTGAAAGAATGTTGTGGCTCCTCGTTTTTCTGGTGACTGCTGTACATGCTGAACTCTGTCAACCAGGTACATAGCCTTGAAACTTAAAAATAGATTAACAGTTTTCTAAATGTGTGACAAGTCTTTTACTGAAAGACCTCTTTATTTTTCTAAATCTGCAGACGTGTTGGGGCTTGAAAGTTGAGCCTGTGACTGTTTCATGAGTTTGAAAGAAAAACTTAAACCATCTAAGATGATTGCAATGAAACTTCTTGGAGTTTTAGGGGCAGTTTAATTGTCCTTCTATTGATTTGATTTGCATTAAATATTCTAATTATTTATCAAGCTCTGTTTTGGCAGATTTTCTCATATACAGCTCTTTTTTCTTTCTGGCAGATGCAGAAAATGCTTTTAAAGTGAGGCTTAGCATCAGAACAGCTCTGGGAGATAAAGCAGTAAGTGGAGAACCTGTGTGTTCATTTTAAATTTTGTTTGCTAATAACTGTGCTTTCTCAAATCTCAAGCCTCCCTGCATAGTTATCTTAAACTTGTATAGATTACTTCTAAAGACCTGAAGCCTGATATTTTCTTAAAGTACAAAAAAATTATAGTAAAATAGAAATTGTTAATAAAATGATTTTGCCTAAAATATTTAATCTGCAATGTATGCTAGAAAATAACGTGAAATTTTGTATTACACAAAACAGTTTTGCAAACTTGAACATTTCAACTCAGCATAGTGGAACACAGCAGCCTGAGTCAGGCACCCAGGTCTGGGCAGGGCTCTGTGCTTCACTGTTGTGGTCATTTGAATTTTGTTAGCCTCAGTTTCCTAATCATTTCATGTTCCACCTACATAAGACTTTTTTTTTTTTAGCTGAGCCATCCTGCCACCTGTTGGCAGCTCAGTGGCAGCTCAGCTCGGGCCGGGCATCGAACTGCTGTTGCTCAGATCTCGCACTCTTGAGCGAGCTCTTAACCAACTGAGCCACTCAGCCAACCCCTACTTAAGACTTTTAATAGCAAAAATTTTCAAAGTCTAATGAGAAGTTTCTTTAATTCTTCTTAAATATCTAACAACATGAAATATGTGCTTATGAAATGGAAATTTAAAAAATTCTCATGGAACTCGTGGAGCTATAGGAACAGTACAGACTGTGGAATTAATAAGATGATACTGTGTAATTCTAGTTTCAGTTTTCCAGTGTGGTCTGTGAAAATTTCCCCCAACAGAAGGTGATATCAAGATGCCTCAGGCTAGAAACAGTAAAAGAGTGCTAACGAAACATAGTGGTATCCTGTTTGCAGGCCCATCTACAATGTATGATTTTATTCACTCAGTGGGTAATAATTGTATGACAACCAACATTTATTGATAACCTAGTTTACTTTCTAGCTGGGCCCCGTCTAAGCACTTAGCTCACATCAGTTCATTTAGCACTGACCACCATTCTTTGAAGAAGGTAGTACAGGTATTCCCATTCTCCTCGGATGGATGAGAGGTGCAAAGAAGTTAAATGAACTGCCTGAGATCTCAAGTCAGCAGGTGGCAGAGGAAAGATTTGAACCCAGGCCATCTGGCTGCAGAATCCGCTCTCTCTGCTAGCGTATAGGGTTGCTTATCCCAGGGTCCTTTGAGGGTGGGCACCATGCTGGAGGCTGGGGATGTAGTGCAGCCAAAATCAGACTTGTCCATGCCCTTGTGGAGCTGATAGTAGGGGGAGAATCGGTGGTCCGTTAAATGTCCAGTGAGCCAAGTGCAAATGTGCAACCTGGACAAGCATTACAGAAAGGAAAATACAAGTGGGCTTTGGCCTCATCGGGGGCCCCAGTACCTGGCATTTGCTGTGAAGTGTAAAGCAGAAAGTACCAAGGCATAAGAGAAAAAAGGGCAGGGGAACAGCATGTGCAAAGGCTAATGACATGAAGAAACTTGGTGAGAGTGAGGGATGGAAGGAAGACACCGGTGTCTGGAGCTGGAGCAGTGAGGAGGAGCATGGAACGTGATGAGCTTCGAAAGAAGGGGTCAGGCCAAAGAATCTGAGGACTGTGTTAGGGAGCTTTGCTATTATCTTTGAAGCAAGTGGGGGTTTTATGGAAAAGATGTCATGATAGAATTAGTGTTTGGAAGACAGATTGGAGGGGACTAGAGTAGAAAGGAGGAATCAGTTAGGAGGTGATGGAAGGAGCGTAGGGGAGAAGTGATGTCCATTTGAAATACTGTATTGGTGGAGAGAGAGTAGTGAAGGGATTCGAGAGCCACAGGGGTCATCGGTGTGACAAGGAAGGGAGAAGAAGGGGCCAAGGACGAAGCTTTTGTTTCTAGTTGTGCAACTGGATGGGTGATGGCCCATTGCTGAGTCAGGCAACCAGGTGCAGACAAGAACAGGCTTTAATTTTGGACTCGTTGTGTTTGAGCTATTACTGACAAATAGGCAAGGCCAGAGCAGGCTTGAGATATACAGTCCTGAGTCATTTGCACTCAGGTGATAATGGAAGGCTGGGGGAGAGGACTGCTGATGGAGAAAGCTCAGAGGGCCAAGAGGAGAGGGGCGAGCAGAGAGCTTTGTGGTTCTCGAACACCGGAAGCTGTAGTCGAAGAAGGTGAACCTGCAAAGGGGGGCAGGGGCAGGGGGCAAACCAGGAAAAGAGAGTGCGTCAGGATGAAGGGAGTATTCAGGAGCGTCGAATGCTGTTGAGAAGCCCAGCAAGATGAGACTGAAAAATGCTCATTGTGTTAAGCAGCGTGGAGGCCAGTGGTAACTTTAGAGAGCGGTGGAAACTGGAAGGCAGGTCATGAAGGGAGTTGAGAAGGGGGTGGTGAACATATGATGACACACGTATGGACAACTTGAGAACTTCGGCTGTGAAGGGCAGGGAAGGAGGAGGACTGAATCAAGTGATTGGGTTTTGCTGCTGTTTTAACGGGCAGGACAAGTGCGGTTAAAGTCAGTGGACATACTCAAGCCAGCATTGAACACACAGAAGAGAGGGGGGAGACTGACACTTTAGATCCTGAGAAGGGCAGAAGGGAAGTGTTCCTAATGCAGGTGGATGGAACTGCCATTGACAGGAGGAGAAATCCCGTGTATGGCCCTGCAGGGGAGGCTGTGTGGCTGCGGAGGAAGTTTTGTATTCAGTGACGGGAGGTTGGGGGAGATTAAATTGATGACTTGAGATGCATCTATAAATTATGAAACGAGAGCTTCTAGTGTCAGTAAGGTATGAAGGAAAGCACTGAAATTTGGGGAGCCTGAATGACTTGAAATAGTCATTGTGAACCACGAGACAGAAGAAACTGGTGGAAAAAACCTACTGGCTTCCCAGGCAATTTGGGAGGAGGCCATCATGAATTTAGAGTTAAACCAACAATCCCTGCCTTGTGACTTTCTGCTGTTATACTTGATTGGTCACCTAAAACGTGGGGTCAGCCACATTGGTTTGCTAGGGCTGTTGTGACAAAGTACCTCAGACTGGGTGGCTTAAACTACAGCAGTTTATCCTCTCTCAGTTCTGGAGGCTAGAAATCCAAGAAAAGGTGTCATCAGGGTTGGTTCCTCCTGCGTTCCATGAAGGAAGGGGTTTGTTCCAGGCCTTTCTCCTGGGCTTGTACATGGCTGTCTTCTCCCTGTATGTTCACATGCCTTCTCTCAGTGTGTCTATATCCAAATGTCCTTTTCATACAAGGACACTAGTCATATTGGATGAGGCCCACCCAATTGGTCTCATTTTAACCTAACCACCTCTATAAAGACACTATTTCCAAATACGATTACATTATGAGGGTAGGACTAACCCCATACTTGGGTTAGGTCTTCAATATATAAATTTCTTATTTGGGCGGGGGGTGGGGAGGAGGGAGTGACACAATTCAGCCCATAACATGTCCATACACTTAAGTTTCCAGCTAAGAAAATAAAGCAAAAAATTGTCCTGATGTGAATAAAGGAAAGGAAACTCAGAGGGGGAATGAGCTTCTGAGGGAAGGGAGGCAGGGAGGAAGGGGACTGACAGTATATGTCCAGGGTGAAATGTCCGCATATCTGATTTGTTGGCCAGCGACTGACACTGCCGGTTCTGAAGACCGTAACGTGATGGGAAACATACCACATTTGGAATGATAGAATGTCCAAGAAACTCTATCCTGGACATTATGGCGACATGATTTATCATAGTCTCCAGTGTTTAGTGTATGCAAAAGATGAGGGGTGGGCACAGCTAGAACCCAATGAACCACTTTTGACCTCATGCCTCTTCGCTTGACATTTTCTGTTTCACTTCTCTCTCAGTATGCCTGGGATACAAATGAAGAGTATCTGTTCAGAGCCATGGTGGCTTTCTCCATGAGAAAAGTTCCTAACAGAGAAACAACCGAGTAAGTAACCAGTGAAAAATCTTCATGGATAACTTGAAGCATTATTGGAGATAGTCCATTAATTCAAAACTCGATCTTGAAAATAACTTATTAACCTAATTTTTAAGGGATCCATCTATTTGTTTAACATTAAACAACAACTTTTGTAACCTAGCTTAGTTTACAGCTTATGTCACGTTCTAACAATGCTCTTCATTCAATGGGCACTATGAAGAGAAATATTAAAAAAATTGTAGTCATAAGCTTTCTACATTTCTATTGTATACATTTCTCTTGCAGATAGATTAGATAGGTTAAATATATATATGTATAGTTATATAGATATAGATATAGATATAGGTATAGGTATAGGTATAGGTATATATAGATAGATAGATAAGAACTCTACTCTCATTGTATCAGTCAGCTCGGGCTGCCATAACAAAGCACCACAGACTGGGTAGCTTAAACAGCAGAAGTTTATTCCTCACAGTTCTGAAGGCAGGAAGTCAAAGATCAAGGTGCTGGCAAGGTAGCTTTCATTCTGAGGCCCCTTCTTTCGGCTTGTAGGTGCCACCAGATCATTGTGTGCTCGTGTGACCTCTTCTTCGTTAAGGGGGAAGTGGAGGAGGGAAGAGTGTGAGCTCTCTGGTATCTCTTCTTATGAGCACATTAATCCTATGTGATCAGAGTTCCACCCTCATGACCTCATTTAGTCATAGTCACCTCTTTATATGCCCTATCACCAAATATAGTCACATTTGGGGTTAGGGCTTCAACATATGAATTTGGAGGGAAGGGGACAAACCATTTCATAGCACTCATTTTGAAAATAACTGAAATATATAAAAGGTTTGTCTCACTGTTCGTATCTATCATAGTACCTTGTTTATTTTCTTAAAAGCTTTACTACCATTTTTAGTAGTTTTACATTTTTATCTATTCTTCCAGAGGAATCTTCTCTAGTTGCAATGTTTCCTACCATCTCTTTCTGTGATTAGGGTAACACTCTTGGTTTCTCTCTCTTCCCTCCCTCCCTCTTCCCCTTGAGAGGTGAAATGATTGATCTGATGGGTGAGCTGAAAGGAGAAATTGAACATGGGTCCCTCTCTTTCAGAGCAAGCCTACCTTCAGACAGCGCCATTTTTCTGTGCTACTCCCTGCACTCAGTACAGAATCTGGTCCTGCATGGTCAGGCACACACAGCTGGGGACTGTTTGCATTGGCAGGTACAAATCGTAAGATATTTGATATCTTGCACATTACTCCAGTATGTGGTGACACCTGCCTCAGTTCGGCTCTACATGGGACATTGTAGACAAATTGATCTCATTGCAGGATTTTTTTAAAAAAATATTTTATTGGGGAATTGGGGGAGGGAACAGTGCTGGGGAATCGAGGAAGGGAAACAGACAAGTTGCTGTCCTTTTGTTCTTCAGTCTAGTTGTGGAGGATGTCGCTTCACTGGCCCGTGTTGGTATTATGATCATTGCGCTCTTCCCAGTTGAGGCAGTCAGTCGCTGGCCGTTGGATGGCAGCTCACGCTGGCTGCCAGCCACTCACAGTAGCTTATGGCAGCCCAGTGCAGCCCCACTGCAGCCTACGCCCTCACTGGCGACTCATGGCAGCCCAGCTCCAGGTTGAGCTGTTGTTCACAATGTTAGCTGTAGAGGGCACAGCTTATTGGCGCATGTGGGAATCGAACCGGCAGCCCCGCTATTCAGAGCTCCCACTCTTACCAACTGAGTCACTTGGCCAGCCCTCATTGCAGGATTTTTATTTAATTAGGAAGGAAATTTGCCTGCTGATTAAAGTCATATCCTCCAACCTAGCCTTTTATTTTGGCCTCCTATCTGCTTCATTCTTTTGTCTTACTTTTATAATACTTCAGAGCCTGGCAAAGAGGATTGCTATTTATTGTCCTCCCTCAGACCCACAATATATGATGCATGGTCTGTGACTATAAGGAATAAAACAGAACAGTGGAATTTGGGGGAGCAAAATAAAAATATGACCTATGTATTTGTGTGTACACACATGTATATATGTACATATACATAAATATATATTTAAAAATAGGTAATATATTAACATGATTCAAAAAATTAAAAGGAGATATATAGTAAAACAAAATTATGCCCCAACTGGACTCTATTCCTATTATATAGATTTTAAGAAAAAATATATTTGCTTTTATATCATGCCTTTAAACTTCAACATTCTTTCCATAACTATTTATGATAACTTTTTTCAGTAAAAAATAGCATTATAAAAATTGAAAATAAGAAATATAAGAAAAAAAAAGCCGCTGATCACCTCATAACACGAATCCCTCAGTTACTCTCTTTTTATCTTCAGGTCCTTGTTTAGCAGGTTTTATAGTTGCCTTGTTCATGGCGCTTTTACTTCCTCTAAGTGCCTACATTTTACCTTGTAAATGACTGTGTTAAATTAGACATATCCACTCTTAGGAAAAGTTCATTTCAACATTTCAGATTGATTTTGAGGAATTTGCTTTAAAAAAATGTTTTGGAACCTGGGACAGTGTAGGAGTCTGGGACTATTTGGCCTGGTTTATTTGCAAAAATGTTTTTCTTAGAATTGGGTGCACAGGATATATAGGGTTTTGTTGACAATACCAGGTGAAAAAAATTGAAAAATGCAAAAGTAGATCAGGGGGCACCAAACTTTTTTCTGTCACGGCTCAGGCGGTATGATTCCTAGCAGTCGTGCTGCCAGGGGCTGAGTGATGAGGCTGCCTAATGAATCGGGACGGGGTTAAAACGCAGTTCCATTGCTGGGCCAACATCTACACTCGCTGCCATAAAGGAGGTGGCCTGTGCACGAACATGCTTCCCCTGTGTGAAAAGGCACCACACCATGCTAGCTGGGGCTGAAGTCTCTTTGAGAGTGGCGGTGGATGGAAGATGCCAGCAGCTTGGCAGCTGGGTCAGGTTTTACATGTTCTGCCTTTCAGAGGGCTTTTGGTGCCAGTGTGAGGCAGAGTGGATTCTGGAGGGTCAGAAACATCCCTATCTAGAATGGCTTCAGGGATTCAAATTGTGAACCTTTGTTATTTCTTGTTTTTTTTTTCTGCCCCATTATGGCTTCTTCTGTGAATATTACAGAAAACCGAAGATATTGAGATGCACTGGATTGAAAATGTAAAGAGTAACCCACTAAAGATAGTCAAGTTAAACAGGGTAATGAATACTCTTGGTCCCATCCCACCTTTTGCCCCGTCCTTACTACACACAGTATCTCTCATTATCAAGCTGGATCACCTCCGGTGACACAGGACTCAGCATCTCCTGAGGAAGTCCTGGCAGATTTGCAGACCTACACTTGGCAATTCCTTGATCCAGAGTAACCCTGATTGACTATGCGAAAGGATGTCCTTTCTAAAGAGAGGTCCTGGCAGCATCCAGGCAGGACTGTGTTGGAGACTGAACTGGTCCATCAGTGTCACCCAGCAGGCAGTGGAAGAGGAGGCTGGAAGGTCAAAGAGGCAGAGGGGCTGGGCCTGCAGAGAGGCTGTGGCATTCCCACTGCCTCCCCGCAGGACAGAGATGGGAACCAGCTCCAGTGTGTACACACCATGCAGCCAGGCAGGGGACAGCTGGGCCATGCTAATGAGCTGGTGCCCTGCCACACCCATGATTATGTGTCTTGAGTGACAGCTTTGCCTGTTTGCCTGCCCGCCTCAAGTCAGGCAGAACACTGCTCACACAGCGCAGTTGCCTGTGAGGAGAGACAGGCGTCTTATCTCCTGGTCGGATGCTTCCCGACTTGCAGACGTCCTCAGGACTAGTTCAGGCTCTACCTGAGGAGCAGCAGCTGCAGGTGTAGAAACTATGGCGCTGTCCCCAGTCGCTGAGGTTGTGCCGGGAATGGAAACCGGTGGATGCCTGTAAGCCGGAGAAGGCTAGAGGTGGAGGGCGGGCTTGGGCCTCTGTGAATGGGCTGAGAGGGTAGCTTCGCCAGCAGTCTGCACTTGACTGCATTGCTGGGGCCAAGTGGAGGTCTGCTGAGGGCAGCGGGGTGGACTCACTCACTGCCTGTAGGGCCGAGAAGCACCGCGGCGCGAAGAGGAGGGAGAGCAAGGCTGGACGCGCAGCACTGGAGGCAGAGCAGAGGGTGAGATGGAACAGGGCGGCCAGAGTGCCTGCACCATGTCAGGGGAGGACGCAGTGCCCAGGGCCCCAGACAGGTCCCCAAAGGCCCCACAAGTGCCTCTGAATGGAGGACATGAGGGCGCCCACCCAGGCAGTAGGCTGCAACAGCAAGAGGGACCCCGAAGAGCCCTGGCGAAGGACAAAGAACTGTACCTTTCTCTTCTCCGACTCCTGCTCTCTGCCACCTATCTCCTTTCTCCATCCCTAAACGCACAAGAATGTGTATGTGTGTGTGTGGGGGGGCGACGTGCAGGAGGAAGGGGAGCTCTGGGGGAAAGAAGGGAGCATGACCCTCAGGCCAGCACTGCTGGAACGAGAGAAGCTGTATGTCACAGGCAGGAAGGAAGACAGCTTGCGTCTGCGTTTTGATTAGACTGCCCTGAACATTTCAGGGTCAGGAATGGCAGAAAAGCTACACCAGGTGCCCCAAATGCCAGCAAGGGGTGGAGAAGGTGAGCTGACAGAGCCCAAAGGCAGTGGTGTGAGAAGCAGGAGCCTCTGTCCTTATTGTGACCTACTGAGGCCGGCCGGTGACCCGCATTGCTGGGTCGGATCCATCAAGTAGTAACCTTTATCGAAAGCCTGCTATGTGCTGGGCATGAAAGGAATGTGATGGAGGAGACCAAATCCAGCCTGATTCCTGTTTTTATACAGCTCACATACAAAGGATGACTTTTACACTTTTATTTTTATTTATTATTATTATTATTATTTTTAGCTGAGCCATCCTGCCACCTGTTGGCAGCTCAGCAGCAGCTCAGCAGCAGCTCAGCTTGGGCCCGGAATCGAACCGCTGTTGCTCAGAGCTCACACTCTTGAGCGAGCTCTTAACCAATTGAGCCACTC